TTAAGCTCTTTAATTTGAAGTTAAAATGGATCTCTATATCAAGTTCTAAAACCAAAATGCTCTTTCTACATCTTTCATTTAATTTTGGTCGTTTTCGAAATAACTCCCGTTTTAAAAATGTCATGAAACCACCCTTAAGTTTGACCAATTTTTGAAGAAACCGCGAGAAATTTGGTGAAGAACAGATTTTGGAAGTGCAGGTGAACTGTTTGGAAGCTGCGCGGTCGACCGCGGCGCTAGGCCGGTAGACCGCGAACATGCACAGACTCTGGGAGGAGTCTGGATTTGGCGCGGTCGATCGTCACGGTCGACCGTCAGACCCTGTAAGTGATTTTAGGCTCTGTCGTTGGTCGCGGTCGACCGTGGCGGTCGACCGCGTAACGGGTCAGGCCCAGAATTGTTTTCCTGTTCTTATTTGGTTTTGGTGTTTGTATAAATACCAATACACGTTCTAGGGTTTCTTAAGGCAAGAGCTTGGGATATTTGGAGCACAGAAAAGAGTTATTTTCTGAGCTATTTGATTAGGGTTTATTTGGAGAGATTAATAGCTTTGTTGGTGAGATTAGTTTGTTCCTTTTAGTGATTTGTAATCTCAAGTTGTACTCTTCTTCTCTATTAGTGAATACCCTCATCCCCTTCTTGCCCCGTGGACGTAGGTAATTGCCGAACCACGTTAAAATTGGTGTTTTATTTGTGCATTGATTTTGGTTAGTTTTAGCTCTCATTGATCGGCAATTGGTTTGGTTGGTTTGGTTCCTCAACACGGTTTTCAACAACAATTGGGGTTTTTCACCAACAATTGGTATCAAAGCTCGGGCTACACTTGGGCTATTTGGAGGAGTAGTTCGATTTGGGAAGCTCATCTAGGGTTTCAGTTGGTGAGAAAGGTGGGATCTTTTTGGTTAAGCTTATTTCTTTTCTCAGATTTGGATCTATTCTTTGTTTGTTTCCGCATTGGTTGTTGGTGTGTTAAGGATTATGGCTGAGAAAGAGGGAGTTGAGGGTGGTTCTTCAGGTGTGAAGACTGTCCAAAGTTTAAGTATCCACTCGATGAAAATTAACGTGGAGAAGTTCAATGGCACTAACAATTTTGGACTTTGGCGATGCGAAGTCTTGGATGCGCTCAATGCGCAGAATTTAGAAGATATGTTGGAGTTGGACGGGAAACTGGACGACATTGATGAGAAGGTTTGGAAAAAGATGAATCGGACAGTGTGTGGTGTGATTAAGTCTTGTCTCACTCAAGATCTAAAATATGATGTAATGAATGAGACTTCAACTAAGAAGATTTGGGAAGTCCTGGAGAGCAGTCGAAAACCGCTTGCATTTGAAGAGGAGGCTTTATCGCTTCCAGTTGAAGAAGGGGACATACATTAGTGATCACATGAACCACTATACGAAGCTTCTTGCAGATTTGGCGAATGTAGATGTCATTGTTGAAGATGAGGACAAGGTATTGCTATTATTGAGTTATTTGCCTGACGATGAATATGAGACGTTTGTCCTTACTCTAATTAATGGGAAGGCATCTCTTTCATATAGTGAGGTCTGTTAGACCCTAGAGGGGGGTGATTAGGGTCTTATGCTAATCTAATCCGATTTTATATCAATTAAAACTTATTAATAAATTATTCTTCTTGTAATATAGATATACAATATGTTATAAGCAAGAATAAGCAATATAAACAAATGAATATATCCTAGCAATGAGATATACTATAAAATATATGCAAGGATATATAAACTAACACAAGGGTGAAATAAACAATCTACAAAGTGATAGGGCAATGGCGACAAGAATGTAATGAACACTAAGCACAAATGAAACGTCAAAGCAAACACAAACACAAGCAAATGATCACGGAGTTCAGACCTTCCGTCCTACGTCTCCACTCCCCACTCCCGGGGAGAAATCCACTATCACAACTGGGTTTTCTACGATCACCCGAATAACGTTTACACCTCATAATTTTATTCACGGAGTTCGGTCCCCACGACCTACGTCTCCGCTTCTCACCTCGAGGAGATCTCCACTTCACACTTGGTTTTCTAGCTAACCGAAAACTTTACAATCTCATAATATAACAAATGATTTGTTCTCTACAATAGATGAGAACTCAATGTAAGCTCACACTCAAAGTTACAGCACTCACCAACCCAAATATACTATGTATGAATACAATAAGCTCAATGTGGGTGTGTGTAACAATAAGTTATCAAATCTAAACTCAATATAAAAACTAGCTTTAAAGAATGATAATCAAAACAAATATGCAAATGGAAAGATATATATGAGTTTAGAAATTCTTCTTTGAAAAAACAAGATGGAGAGATGGATTAAGATGAAGCTCAATCAATGTAGATGATCTCCTCCACTTGTAAAACAAACTTCACAAACCAAACAAACTTTAAACCAAACTTAAACCCTTGTTAAAACTCCACTTGTAAAACAAACTTCACAAACCAAACAAACTTTAAACCAAACTTAAACCCTTGTTAAAAACTATTTTAAACTTATTTTAAAACATTTCATTTGCTACCCTGGTAGAGAGGGGTTTGAGAGTTTATATAGGAAGAGAAACCAACAGCAAAAACCCTAAACAAAAGACCAAAAATCCCAAAGAATCAAAAATCTAATTCTGTACCAAATGTGACCGTTGGGCGATCGGCGGTCGATCGTGGAAAACTCGCAATCGACCACGAGCAACTCAAAAGCAAAAATGGGCTCTGGAACAACAGCCGGTCGACCGTGGCGGGCGACCGCGAAATTCTCTGGACTACATACGGTCGACCGTCATGGTCGACCACAAGCCAAAAAAGATCATACTGAGTCTTTAGACTCAAGGCGGTCGACCGTGGCGGTCGATCGCAAACTGATACATGAAATTCCAGGTTTGAAAACAGTTTTCTGATTTTAAAACCCTATTTAAAAATATCAAACAAATTCTAAAAATATAAAACTTTGGGAAATGATTATAGACATGATAATGAACACGCTACAAAAACTGGTTTTTAAAAAAAACCTCCCAAATGAAAAATATCATCATTTTGCAAAATAGTCCAAAACATAAAAATGTAAACATATGAGTTTTGATATTTTAGCTTAACCATATTTTAAAACATTACAAAATAATTTTGTAGACTTAAAGAAAGATATAAACTATTGTTATGAAGTCTATAAACAATGAATACAGAATTTTCACAAATACAATAGAATATGAAACATATGAGTATGAATATGAATGTATATTTGTTTCATATCTATGAAATTAAACAAAACCAATTTATCCACGTAAAAACAAACATGTATGAATATAAATATTTATTTATATGCTTGTAAAAAC